TGAGCGCCTGGTGGGAAGGCGGGGCCAATTTGGGGGAGCTCAGCTGTATGCAATGTAGCTGAGTGACCAGAAGGGTGAAGCCAGGATCTGCCCCTTCCCTGACCTCATTTAAGGGTTGGCAGTGGAGACAAGGGGATCTTCTGGGGTTCTCTGTGTACCTGAAGCCTTCTGAAGGTAAGCATTGCCCCACTTGGTGCAGCCTGGGACTTTGCTGCTCTGCTATTATTGCTGTGCTTTCCATCATGTTACAGAGGGCAAGTGAGAATTAGTTTACATAAACAAATGTTGGCTTTCTTATGATGGCTGAAATATCTGCTTAGCATTTCATTGCTTATTAGTGTTCGCATTTCAATGCTGATTACCCAGCGATGGTCTTTGGGAACTAATGAGAAGTTGGATTATTTTGAATGATTAAGACATTTAAGTACATCAGTGGAAAGAGAACCTATGGGAAGAAACACAAAATTTTCTTTAAGTAGGAGAAATGAGAAGTCACAGTTGCAGTATTCTGTGTTGCACTTTTAAGTTGAGTGGGTTTCAGCTTTCTTAGGTCTTTTGTAAGCTTGCTCAGAAACTCAGGTTGGTCTGTTTTCGTACTACAGTTTGTATACATTAGGAGCATCTTGCCAATTCATGGAATTCTTTTGTAAGGAAAAATGTATTTAGTTGTGTATCATAACATTTGAAGTAAAAGCTGCGTATGAATTAGGAAAGTGAAGTAGTGGAAGCAAGCAGATGGATTTCAATCTTTGGTACATCCATGTGGGGAGAACTATGAAAACCCCGCTGTGGGCTTTTTGAAGAGTTCATTTAGAACAGATCTTCAAAAAGATTCAGTACTGATCTGGAGTATGAAGCAGAGCGTAAGCAACATCTGTACTTTTAGTACATTTGACATTGTAAGTGAATGAGGAATGTTCTAAATGTTTTTCCAGTTCAAAGTTCAGTGTCCTCTTCCACTCACAATGCTGTTACCTTCCACACCTGCACTATCCATCTCTTCCCAGATTGGCTTCAGTTATTTGGCGCCGTCATGTTTCCATTCCCTTGAAATATATGATTTATTAGTAATCAGCTTAATGTTGTAGTATTTCTTCAGACTCACCTCAGGAAAAGGAATTATTTTGTAAAATAGTTTTTATTGCATTTTCAATGAAGTGTGAATTAGCACATTAACGAACTTGCCTGTTACCACTGATTTTACTCACAAGTAAACTGGCAACAACTTGAGCTTAGTTTCAAGGCTGTGGTAACCAAGAGTCCTGAAGATACTTAATAGAGCATCAAGCAGATCATCTTGGAAATCAGTGTTTGGGCAATTAAAAGCTCAGATAGCTGGGAATGGTATCAGTTCTGATATCAGCAGGGATGTTTTCACTGAGTTGGGTGGCTGAAGTCCTCATATGGTTAAGTATTGTAGCATGAGAGGCTGTGGGCTGTTGTGTTTTCAGGTGTCTTTTGTTCGTCAGCTGAATTTATTGATTGGTAGTTAACAGCATATAAGCTTTAAGAAGCAGCTAAATGCTTCCTGGCAGCTTCAGGGCTTACATCCATGTGATACTGAATCTTGGGCCAGGGCTCTGCCTTCACAGTGAGTGTTTTGGAAGGATAAAACATGATCTGTGTCTTGTTTAAACACTGTGGAAGTGGTAAAATACCTTGAAAAGGGCTCAGGCCATAGAACTACTCTGCAGGATCCTGTTTGAAGGTGATCCATTACCATGATCTTCAGTGGAGGAAATCAAAGTGAAAGCAGCTGGGAGAGCTTAATTACGTCCATGTGGTGCTGTTGTCAGCTGTTGGCAAATTGTGTGACCATAAAGACTGTTGTGGCTGTGTGTAAGTGGCCTCAAATCTGCTGTGCTTCGCTAGATGCTAGAATGCAGTACTTGCAGTTTTTAATTGTTGTTTGTATGTTCTAAATTAAGATGTTTCTATGCTGTGAAGTTGGGAGGGGGTTGAGAAGAGGCAAGGAAGTTTATGGAAAAAATAAATCTCAATCTCTAATTTCTCTGTATGGGAAAAGGCAGGAGTTTATTTATTATTCCTTTCTGCAGGAAAGGAATAAATGAAAATTGATTCAAGGTTCATAATATTTTTTAAGACCTGAAACTATGACTTTTTTTTTTTTTTTTTTTTTACAAAAATAATGGATGAAATTGTGTAATTTGTTCTGTAAAGTTTTGCGTAGTTTGAGACCAACTCCACATGCTTTTAAATCCCAAGATCACGAAACTGTCACAGCTCTGTATGATGCTCATAGCCCTGGCAAGCACTTTTGCACATACCTCCTATTCCACAGAACTACAGTAAGTCTATTTCTGTAAGCTACTGGGGCAATATTTGGAGACTGGTAAGCCAAATGAATGGCTTATCCTCCTGCCAGCAACATAACCTTGAGGCTTGAGAAAAGAAAGTGTGAGAACAAGAAATGTGAAAGTGAATGAATCAGTAGCAATGTTCTGGTATAACTTGAGCTCCCTCTTTGAGCACATGTGTTCTGTGTAGAGGTAAAATTAACAATGCAGGAACTCCATGTGTCACTGGGAGACAAGTAGGGGACTTGAAGGAATACAGCAAACTCGTTACACGCAGTGGTATTGTACTATGAGCATGGATGTGCTACCAGTCGTCAACAAGCAAGGCAGGTGGATGGAACTCGTAAGTTAAAAAGCAATGAAATATTTCCTTAAATCACTGCTTGGAGAGTCTGCTTCAAAAGAAGAGGAAAAGGGAAAATGGCAGTGAAATGTGGTCAGGGAAGGGATGTTTGGTGTATGTCTTTGTTTTTAAAGGGAAATCAATTCTTGTGCCTTTTTTTTTCTCTGAAGCCCTGAGCAGAAGCAAATCCAGGGGACTTGTGCTTACAAGTAAGTAGAGTTCAGGAGACACATGGAGACTTCATGGAACAAATGCTGTACTGCTACTGCAAGTCCAGGGAATGTCTAAATAAAACCAGAAAACCAAATTAACTAATCATGTACTAATCATGTATGCTTGCTCTGGGCTTTCCAAAATGCAAACTATCAACAGTAGAAGACAGAAGACTGGGAATAGCCTAAGAGACTAGAAATAGTTTCAAAAGATTGGGTGAAAGTAGTTGCACTGTAAACTGAGAAGCAACGGCTCCAGTTTATTTTGGTGAATCACAGAATCACAGAATCAGCCGGGTTGGAAGGGACCTCAAGGATCATGTAGTTCCAACCCCCCTGCCTTGCAGGGCCACCAAACACACACATTCAGATCAGGCTGCCCAGGACCCTGTCCAACCTGGCCTTGAACACATCCAAGGACGGGGCATCCACAACCTCCCTGGGCAGCCCGTTCCAGGGCCTAACCACTCTCCTTGTAAAGAACTTCCCCCTAACATCCAACCTAAATCTTCCCTCCTTCAACTTGGATCCATATCCATGGATCCGTGAATGAAGAACAGTAAGTCCCTATTGCTCAATTTTTCCTGTAATCCCAAGCAAAATTTGAAAAAATTGCATGATCTAGCAATATCAGATAAGGAGGAATTTCCCTCTGGTGGGTGGTGATGTAAAGCTACCTGTCCACAGCAGAACTAAGGAGGTAGTTACTGTGTGTCAGTCGTCTTTAGAGAAGAAAACGACCGGTAGAGGGCAGCTTAAGGCTTAAACTGGAATATATAATGTGTTAATATGGCACTAAAGTTAGTTCAGGAGATCCAGCCCAGAAAAAGTTAAGGACAGTTTGTAGTTGGTTAGACAGTTAGTAAGGACAGCTTGTAGTTAGTGAGCATAGCACTAAATGCTCAAGAGTCCAGGGATTAGGGAGCTGGGGAGGAAGGAGGAAGTGCACACATCCCACTGGCTTCAGTACAAACCCAAAGGCAACATTGAAAGCATTTCAGATTTTGTTTGTGTTACTGTTTTTTTTGTGGTGTTTTTTTTTTTTCAGCCTGGACTGGGACCTGTCAGCTCTGCAGGCACCAGTTTACTCAGCTCAGGTTAATATTGCTATCTCAGCATTGTGATGCCAGGCCCCAAACAGCTGGTGAATGTGAGTGCCTCTTACATAGTGAGCCCTCATGCAGCTGAGAGCGCTGATTGCTTACCCAAGTACAGTGCTAGATCAAAACCCTCTCTGTTCTGGGTGCTGTGCCCAAAGTGCTAAATGCTGTGGAAGCCAGAAGTGTGAAAGTTGCACTGAAGTTGGCTGAGTGCTTCACATACTGGGCGCTCATCAGGACTGATGGGCTGTGTAATTGTAGCAATACCTGGTGTTCAGGTCAGAGTGGTGAATTTATGGAACTGATGGTGCCCAGCCTGTCTGGATTCAGCCTTTGTTCTTGACAAGAATGTGAATCAATGGATCAGAGATGGTACAGGAAGTGCACCACTGTCCTAGCTAGCAATCCTACCTGCAGACCTACAGCAGGCCTGGCAAAGTGTAGCTGTGATGCGGAATTCAACAGTAAAACATTTTTTAAGGAAAAAAAAAAACCAAAAACTCTGTCATTGAACTTCCCATTACTTAGACAGTGAAAACAGTATCAGTCACTGAAACTGGAAAATGCTGAAAGTTTTATTGATCACATAAGAGACAAGATGAACAGGGAAATAGTCTCTTCCCTGTCACCGAGTGATGTCTTTTAAGAGCATTATATCCATCCAATGCTATGCAATAAAACTTTCTCTAGTCATAAGAGTTGAGTGCAATGTAGCTACAATGCTTCCTAGTTTTGTTTTTGGAGCCATTACAACTTTTCCCAAAACGTTGGTTTTGTGATTGTGCTGGTACATATTGACATATTTGCGTAATGTACAGGAAGTTATTTTACATGGTTGCTGCTTTTTTACCTTGAAAACTGTATCACTTAAATAAAATATTATACTTAAGGGTTCTTTGGCTTTTATAAGCAAGAAAAAAGAAAAGGCGATGACAAACAAATATCAGTTAAAGAAGGAGCACAAGTTATCTTGAGGAAGATATGGTTCCAGCTTTCCTAGGGCCTATTTTTGTTGTTTTTGCAATGATCATGTCTGTTTTTGGCTGATTTTTGACTGGTAATCGTCTGCTGCAAGGCTTTGTGAGTTGCACCTGTTCATACACTGGCATTGATCCACGTAGACGTAGCTATAGTTTATGCTTGTTCCATTTTGGCAATTCAGGATCACGTCTCTTCTGTGGCTGCTGAGCTCTTGGCAGCAACTACAGTCATGTTGCATCTGGTTTGCTTTAAGAGAATACCTGCGTTCCAACAGAAAAAGAAGACTTTCTCATTAAACATCAACAAATAGGAGCATTGTGTGAATATGATTTTAATATAAGAAGAGTGAAACTCTTCTTGCTTCATCTGAGTCTGATTCTATTCATGAGACTCATACACACATTACTTTTGCTGTTGTTCTATGACCATTTAATATAAACTCAATAGAAATAAAGCTGAGGAGATTTCAACTTACATGGAGGAGCCAGGACAAGTCCCTTCACAGTATCCCAACTCAACAGCTTCAGGAGATTCACAGTCTTCGTATTGGATTACAGTTTTTGTGCTGTAAGCTTTGCAGTTAGTAGCTTCAAAAGAATAGGAAAAAAGATAAACGTGCTTCAAATCTCTAGTTCAGAACTGAACACTAAAACAATTTTGAAGTGCGTGATGACAATGGTGATGAGGAGACAGTTGGACTAGGTGATCTTATAGGTCATTTCCAACTTTGTGATTCTATGATTCTGTCTCATTACTGAGACTATGTACAACAGGCAACAGTAGATGCTATTGTATACTACAGCTGGAGATTTCAAGTGTTTTTTTTTTATCTTGGCTGTACAGTGTGTTTGGAAGATATAAGCTGAGGATTGAGTGTGAGGGTTTGTTTTGTGGTATTCACAGTCCAGGAAATTCACCATTGCTTCAAAAGGAAAAAGTATAGAAAGGGTTACTGAAAAGTGAAAGCTAGGTCAGTGAAGAATCTTTCCTTCCACTCAAATACAGATAGAAGTTTAATATAATTACCTGTAAGAGGAAAGCACCTGCTTGGTATTACTTACGTTTACATATCTTGCAGCAGCCATCAGAAGTAGTCTCTGCTTCATCCTTTGCAGAAATAAAGAAGGACACGTATTATAACACGGATGACAATACTGAGCGTGTTAACAAGTTAGCATTGCTAATGCTCAGCTGAAGGCTTCTCTGTGATGAACACTGAATGAAACCGTGGATGCCTTGCTGGCTGATTCATCGCAACAGAAATCTTGAATCGTTGTAAGCTCGTGTAAAAATACCAAGCTTCACTTTGATACTGCTGTTACAGCAATGTTATTTTCATCCTTAAAACATTTCTGCAACCTCAATGAAAATAACTTGTTGCATTCTTCCTGACTCTCTCACCCCCTTGTTCTTCTACATTACATTCAGTAAAAGCTGGAGCGATGAAAACTTACGGGATCGCACTCCAGTGGACCGTAGTCGGGACATACTCGTTTCGTTTGAACTGCAACGTATTGATCTTCAATTATTTCACATTTGTAGTGGCTGCACAGATCAAGTGGCAGAATCTTACCAACCTAAGATTTTAAGGGAAGAAAAAAATTATTTTTTTTCCATTGTAATCAGATACTGTATGATTACTTCAAAAATGTTTGACTTAAGTTCTCACACCTCAAAGATTTTTAGATGAATTTGAGTTCTTTGCCAAATGGGAGAAGCCTAATTTTTGTGAACTATGGCTGTCCTGAAAGTTCATATCGTAGATCTTGGGGTCAGATTCTTTCCAGGGGCATGCAGCAGTAGAATAGGGGGCAGTGGGCACAAACTGGCACACAGGAAGTTCCATACGAGGAACTCCATATGGAGGTATTCAGGAATTTCCAAGTAAGTCTTCAGAGACTTAAGTTTTACTCTGTATTAGTGTTTTCAGAGTACTTTCAGTGTTAAATAAATTCTGACTGGGAAGGGATATATTGGCTGGTGAGAGAAGGAAAAGATTACTTACTTCGAGCAGAACAGTCTCGTTATTTAGATGAATTCTGCAAGATGATACTTCACACTTCCCACAGCACTCTCCATCCTCAATCTTATATTGGTGACCCTACTCACAAGAGATGAAAGAGAAAGTATGTTGAGTTGATGATGGACGGTTCTGGTCTTACTACCGTACTACTGTTTGAAGGCTGATAGGGCATCCCATTGAATCTCAACTCACCGGTGGACAAGATGTTTCACATTTAAGTGCTTCACACTTCACAATGTTTTTCCCTTTCTCAGAAGAGCAGGTACAATTCTTACATGAATCTATTACAAATGCTCCACTCTGAAAAATTGGAAAGAAAAAATAACATCTGTTCATGAAGTGTCTTTATAACACACAGGTGAAGGTGGAAAACGTGCTGTATACTGTTAAGTTTTCTGAAGTGCAATTAAGCAAAAAATCTGGCTTTATTTTTGAAGGTTCGTAGGGTTATTTCAAACATTTGAGCTTTAACAATACATCAGCTTCTTTGGAAAAAAAAAAAATACTGAATTCCACAAATAGAAGAAAGAAACTGCTAAAAATGATGCACTCTCGTTTTAAGCTTCTTGAGGAACAGAGGTTAGGGTTGTAAATTGACATGGATTGGGAAAAGAATTTTCCAAAGGGCTTTTGTGGTAGAAAGGGTGTACATTTAATTTCTAGTAAAATGCCACTGTAATTATGCCATGCTCACCTCATATATTTTACCATTAATCTCACAGGTGTTTGGACGTTGCCCTGAAAAACAACCAAAATAAAAATCAGCAAACTCAAACAGTGAAAATACATAAGAAGTTAAGATGTTACCAACATTTGTTAATAGCATAGAGATTATGGAAAATTTGAATTCAAGCTCAAACCAGTTAAAAAACATCCATAGCTGGATGTTAAAGAATCTATCTTTTAATTGGCCAGAAGAGTTGAGTAGAAATGGCACCAAACTTGAGCTAAACACAAAAAAATTCCTTTCTTGCCCTTTCCATATTGGTTCTTTTCAAATTAAATGAGTTGTATTCTGTTTGAACACTTGAAGACCAGTAGCCTTCAAAAATGCCTTTGTATATTGATACCTTATGACTTCTCAGAATGGAACTTGGATGTGAGATCAACTGGAAAAGTGGTATTTTTTACTGAAGTAATACAGTTTGATAACATGCCAGATTCCATTTGTGGCTTTCACAGCATTACTTCAGACTTCGTAGTTCCTCTTGATTTTCCTCTTTCAGGCTTATTTGTAGCTAGTTTTCTTTTTGATTCTTTTATTTAAAAAAGTAAGTATATAAATAAACATATGGATTATAGATTTTATTAATGTTCTACAATACTGTAAGAGTAATTATTATTTTTTGTACATCAGCAATTCAGTTTCTAATTATGATTTACTTTGTTCCTTCATATTACCTGCTTTTCTAGTGAACTCTGAAGATTTCTGCTGCCTCACTATTATGTTTACGTATCTTTGGTTAGCTGTAGTTACATGAATGTTAATGAACTTGAAGTACTTGAACTATCCTGTTCTCTAAGCAGATATTAAGAATAATGTTTTTAGCTGAACTCATATTGCATATTTAGCTAGAAATTGATGTGCGTTCAATAAGTGAGAACAATTTAAAGAAGGTTTTGCTGTTACCATGATGGATGTAGGATCTGCCTAGATACTAACAGAAGCACAAAGGTAACTTCCCACAGCGTAGCCTGGTGCATACATTGGTATTTTTAGTACTTACGGCATTCAAGTTCAGGACAGCACGGGTCTGTTACTGGTATTACAGGAAAGGCAATGAATCCTACGTCACAAACTACTCCCTCTATTTCGCATGGGAGCAGCTGACATTCTGCCGTAGCAGTGTGTGGATCACAGACACACTCCTCGCACTGCTTTGTCCATCTCTCTCCAGGCTGAAAATACAAAAATGATGTATTTTGATGTGCCCTTTCGTTCTAGTTATTCGTGGCCAACTTGACTTAGACTCTCACACTTAGTAAGGATTCCAGATAAAAGTTTTGGTACCGTATGATTTCCAAACTTAAGAGCAAGCAAGCTGCGAACAATAAAATAACTGTCTTCTGTGTAGAAAACAAACAAACAAAAAAAAAGGCATTGTAACATTTTCATAGCTAGTCCACTTATTTTTGTGATGTTTGAATATTCTTAAAAGTTTCTGCTATTATATTACTGGACTTCTCTATCTCTAGATGCATTCAAAGCCTGATGGTGCAAGGTTTGAAATATGTTTTATCAGGATATTCTTCCATGACAAACTCTGTTATTGAAATACGTACAAGTTGATTTGAAATGAGGACAGATGATAGAAGTTGGGATGTTTTTGCAATGGTAATATATTAAAATAAAGAAGGGAATCACCTTTCGTGGAGGATTGACATCAGTACAGTTTCTTTCTGGTAAATCTGTGAGGGATGTTGCTGTGGATGAGGGGGCTTCTGTTGTAGCCTCTGAGGACACCGAAGTTAAAGCAGTTGTTACAGGACATGGCCCCTGAAATGGAGCAATTTCACATTCTTTGCTGCAAAGTGCATAAAAATTACATCCAGCCTTATCTGTTCTGTTGTATACAACTTCTCCTGCAGAAAAAAAATGAAAGAAAAGTTAAAAGACCAATGAAATTACTAAGAAAAAAAACCCCGAAACAAAAAATATTGTGAAAACATGAAGCATATTACTCTGTTGAAGTGATTATTCTATTTAAGATTTATTTGATTATCTTTAATACATTATCAAGGGATCACACTGCTTATGAAAGTGATTATAACTATCAAGCAAGAAGCTTACCGGGAGAAAACAAGCCACCAAACACGTGGCAAAAACATGGAGTTGTTCCACTTGCTTCTGTTGTGGAAGGTGTGGTGGGGGAAGAACTGGAGACTGCAGAAGTGCCTGTAGTGTGTCTTGGCTGTGAAGTACCAGCTGTTGAGAACAAAACAGTTTAACACAGCATTTGGTTCTCCTAATCGTTACGTATTATAGGAATCTATCAGAATCTGGGCAAACCAAACCAATGTTTGGTTGCATTCGACTATTTGACCCACTTTCTGTAGTAAATAGATATTGTTGAAATCTTACTGCTCTGTACCAAGTAACATTTGGGATTTTGCAAATATTAGGACTTCTAGCATTAATATATTTTAATGTCTCAGAGTCACCAATATCACCTTTATGGTAATAAATATGAAACCATGGAATCTGCTAAAAGATGTAGGATAAGCACAATGGCTGATAATTTTTTTTTCCGTTGAAAGAAGCACATGTAATGGTAGAAGTAACAGTAGAAAATTGTACCAATGATATTCTAATAAACTAACTGCAAAAAAATAGCTTTCTGATTTTGATGATGACCTACCAGAACGGCTTGAAGTAGGGGACTGAGCTGTAGTCTGTGTTACTAGAGTGGAGGACAAGGAGGTGATAGTACTGGTGGGGGAGCTGGGCACTGAGGTTGTGGTGGTGAG